AAAGCCCAAATAGGCCCTTAAACTAATAGTTTTTTTCCTAGAAAAAAAATTGTATTAAAGGTTAAACTTTATATAAATAAAATTTAATATTAAAATCTTAATAAGAAAATTTAATAGATTTAAATTAGGTATCACCCGATAGTTTCCTTACATCGAATGTTTGGAAAGCATTTTCTCCTTTAATTTAGTGCTCGTAGTGGATCTCAAACTCCGGGAAGTCAATTCGGGCCACCGTGAAAGCAAACACCCTTCTCCATCCATTCGAATTCGAATCATATATCACAAATCGATCAAACCGAGGCCGGAAGCCGAAGAACGCTGAAAGCTTCCATCTTTCCCGCAATCTCGCTTGTCCGATCGGCGGCGGTCGCTCCGCGGCATAGAGACAAGGGGGAAGCAAATTCTTAAAAAGGCAAGCTTTGCTTTCTTTATCTTTTTGTTTTTTGGGATTATTCAAGAGAAGATTTTTCATGGTGATTGGAGGAGGAGAGGGGAGGAGGGAGGAAGATTCGTGAGCTAACAACCACACCGCACTGAGGCGCAGAGGCGCACGCACGAATCTTAGTAGGTCGCCGTCGTCTTATCGGGAATATCGATAGTATTAATGCTTCGGAACAATATTGTCGTATCCTCTCTCTCTCTCTCCCTCCCTCCCCTTCCTTTTATTTCTGTCTTGTGGAGCGATTGTTTGGGGACTTCTTTTGCGTGCAGGCCACGCCCGCCAAGGTTCAAGAAAGAAGGTTGCTTTAGCCATTATCATTGAGATTTTTGATCTAGTTTTTGTTTTAAGTGAGACGTTATGTGTGATGGTTGACTTGCTATTTACAAATTTTTCGGTATTGGGGATTGGAGAGTTTGTTCGACCTTGAATTGTCTCATCTTCTTTTAGCTGGGCTCTTACGTTTCCATGGACATATAAGAATAGCTCAAAGCTTGGTCAAGTTTAGTAACGCTGTTTCCTTAAAGTGAACGCTGCTTCCCGACAGCCCCCCTCTTTGTTTTAGTTCTCAAGGTTGGTTATCTATTGGTTTTTGGTTGAAACATCGAAGGATTCAGTAAGGCTTCTTGTTAAGCTTCCTCACTTTCTGTCTTTGCTGCTTTTGTGCAGAAATCATCCCTTTACCTTTGGTAAGCTGTATTTGATTTGTTTTCTTCATTATCTCATGAGAATTGGTTTGTCATGAAATCCTTACTCTACCAAGATTATTTAATTGATTAACTTAGGTTTCGTTCGGGACGGCTGTCTTACTGCTTCTTAAAATAGTTTTTTAAAACAAAAATTAAAATTTTTTACTAGAAAGCTGTTTTAAGAAGCAGTAAGAAAGCCATCCCAAACGAACCCTTAATTAGATTCCCATGGGGAATTTATGAATGAGCCGAAACGTCAGTGGTAGTTCCATGGATCTTTGATACTTCTTTTATGCTGTCTATTGTTTCTGCGGCAGCTTTTGTTGCTTATATATTCTGTTTTATTGAAGGGAAATAGGAGTTTGGTTAGTAGTTTAGCAACCTTTTTGGGTCAATTTGCAAGTTATTGATAAATACTTTTCCAATCTTCGTTCAGAGATGTTTTGTTTCTTCTTATAGTATCTCAATTTTATGTAGTGGTAGGCTGGTAGCATACTCATGATTAATTTCATGTAAATTAATTATATGATTGATAGCAATTACAGGGTGAGTGCAAACTGGTTGGCAGTTAGGGGGGAACCTTCAGTCATACGGTTTTAGTTATTAGCTAAATATAAAGATGCTCACTACTATTTACTATTGTATATTTCTTAAATAATTTGTTTATGTTATGTTTCTTGCATGAGGAAGAGGAAGCTCTTCTTCTTGATCTTGAATGAGAGGGAGGGAGAGGGAAGAGAGGGAGAGCTTGCACTGGAAAAAACCTTTCCTTTATTTGATGTGGGCTATTACAAGGGGCACTTCTTACATCAACTACTATGCTATTTATAGGCATTTACAAGGAGTGTGATAGATTGCGGATCAACCTAATCTAAAGTTGGACCAATACACAATAATCTCCATCTTAGCGCGCGTGCTACAATCCAAGAACCACCTATGCGCCTACTGCGATCTGACCGGCTCCCTGCACTTCTTACTCGATCAATACTTACTATTATGTAGCGACTTCAATTCACTTGTTCAAGGATATAACTCGTTCCTCATTGTGTTATCAACAAAGACCATCTTGTTGATAAAGTTATTCATTCTCTTATTTTTTAAATGAATTAATGACTTATTGAACGTGACATTCTACGAAATTCTCTAAAGTTGCAAAAATAAGCGTTGTGCTGAATTACTAGAAGTTAAGTCCTAAAGCTCAAACCGCCCCTTTGAGATGGGATCCGTGTTGAGCGAGAAAAGTTCATTCTATTGGACGGTTCTTTAGTATGATTGCCCTCATAAAGATAAAAACTTTTGCATGGCATCTGCATTAGATGATGACTTATTGTGAAAAGATATTACTAAGATAAATGGATGACTAAAACTTGAGACGACTGTCAACCGCTCAGCTTATCATACCAAATTTATAAATAGATCATTATAATCTTCATATACACTATTGTCTAAACACTCTTCTATGCTCTAGTAAAAGTATTCAAAATCTTTCCATGCTAGAGTAATGATGTTTTGTTTTACCATATTTTCTATACAAAAGAATATTCCCTATTTGTATTTCTTTTCCTAGCAACAACATCATATAAAGTTTAGAACGACTAAAATTGTTGATTATTTCAATATCACATGGCCTCTCTTCACCTTGTCCGTGCCAACTACATTATTCTTTAGCAAAGCCTCCAACACAACAGTTTGCTTATTCTTGGCTTCACCTTTCTCTATGAATGTTTCTACCTTGGTCATCTGAGCTTGAAGAGTTATAAATGTATAAGCAAAATCCCTCTGATTCAAACTCAACCATAGTTGACTACATTATTTATGTTATTCTAAAGGTGAGGAATTATATCATCTTTTTTTTATCGCCTCTTCTAAGACTGGAAGTAGAGCTTGAACTCACCTTATATTCTCATGCCTTCCAAGAGCCTCTGAAAGTCAAAACTCTCTCATACCCGATATGAGTTCTCACTTAGCTTCTCTAATTCATTTACATTCATAGCTAAGGCAACCTCTTTGGAGACCTCTATCTTGGCCATTCCAACGCTCTTGGCATCAATGCTGAGTTGAAGTTAGATTCTCCCCTTGCCAAAAGAGAACTTCGATAAATACTTATTTTCATGAAAATTCTCAAATTATTTAATTTTCTTTTCTAGTTTGGAGAATAGCTCAATCTGACTCCTTGTCAAGTGAAATTGAACTTGTTAGCATGAAACGTGTTCTTGCATCAAAGATTTATGAAGATAGCGATCAAAACATCATCAAGTAGCTTATGCAACCAACCTTATAAGATCCTTGGGCTAACATCATACACTGCTGTAATGATCTCTTATCTCGACAATAGAGGGTCTATATTGAATTCAATCAAAGCTTGGTCAAAATCTATCTTGTTAAGCATGGTTTCTTGTTTCGATTAAGGTACACGGCTCAAAATGCTTGATAAAGGTGTACTAAAGGATTCTTCCCTTATTGAGTCACAAGCTAGAGCTCGAGCTCAAATATTATACGAGCTCAAATATTATACAAGCTCAAGTTTGAGTTTGAAAAAGCTTGGTTTGTTGCTCTCGAGCTGACTCATGTTTTTTAAAATAAAATTTTATATAATATTTTCGACATTTAAAAAATTTAGAAGATGGAGATACATTATGTTGTTGTTATTTCCTACATTAAATGTTTTTTCGTTTTTAAATTAAAACCTATGCATGTATAGATGCTATCATTTCTTCCATTAAAGTAAGCCAACAATATTAATTTTTTTGCATCAAAGTTTCTTTAGTAGTAAGAAGCCGATAACATTAATTTTTTTCCCTTGAATAATTGAGTTGCACCCCTCCATCCAGCTCCATCTGTGATTTCTGCCTTGACGACTTCCGTCTATCCGTGATTTCTTCTCCAACGAGCTACCGCTGCAATGCCTTCTTGGCATCCTTCTTCAGCACCCACAAGCTTCTGTAATGAACTTGAGCTTATGTTTATTGTAATGAGCCGAACTCGAGCTCAATACATAAGTTCAACTTGAGCTTGATCTCGAGTTCGAGCTCATTGTTGATTGGTCAAACCAAGCTCAAGAAGGTGTGACTTTAGATCGACTCAACTCGCTTACACTCTAGAAAATGGTGGAAGAAGAATAAACTTGGACATAGCTAAAACTTTGAGTGCAAGAAATCCAAGAAGAAGGATTAAGAACATAAGCACTAAGTTGTGAAGCCTATTTCTCATTCTATGTAGAAAGCACGAGTGCATTTTAGGAATTTTATTATATTTCGGCTACATTGAACTTTTTATTATTAGGAGGAGATATCTTATATTTATATATAAAAAATTAGAGTTGGGATTCTCCATAATCAATGGTAAAATTAATAACGTAGCAATATGATGTAATCATCAATTAAGTGAACTTATATAAAATTTTTGTGTTGATTATTTTTTTATTTATTTATTTTCTTACTCTTCGTCTTGGCATAGGTTTTAGTGATTCCCATCACAAAAGAGCGTAAAGGGAAGCAAACTGGGATATTAAATCCTCTTTTTGGGCAAATTGTGGAAGACATGCACCTCCTTGAGTCATTTTGTACGATCACTTCAATAAGATTATCCATCAAATTGCATTATATATTTGATTTTTTTTCTTAATCATCATTTATAAAAAGGTTGACCTCTCAAAAAAATATTGGCGTCCCAAAGAAGGTTTGATTCCCAAAAATGGTCAACTTCTTAACAAAGGCCAACTTCCTAGTAAGGGCATTCTTTCTAACGAAGGCCAACTTTCTTCGCAACAAAGGCTAACTTCCCAACAAATTACAGCCTCAATGCAAGTTGTCTTGTTTTAGAAGTGTAACTAGATGATGATGTTCAGCTTCACAAATATGAAGCTGAGTACATAAATTAATAATTAGAAGTAAGATTTAAAGTTAATAACTTATCTCATTATAAGCAAATTTACAAAGAAAATATACTTTCATTCAGATAAAAAATTTCATAACATTGAAGTTAAGAAAAGCAAATACAAAAAAAGGGAACAAGAAATATGATTTAAGAACAAACTTCTAATAAAGAAACTAGAGCATCGTTGGACTCATCATACAACATCCTAGCTTCTCCTAGCAAACTACAAAATTTTAGTTTGAGAATGACTTCTCGACTTAGTTTCAAGAATGACTTCTTGACTTACTTTCAAGAATGATTTCTTGAGTAATCAGTAATGGTGTCGGTCTGGATAAATTAACACAACATAAAGTTGGAGTTCACTCAGGAAATCTCCATGAATGCCCTCATAAAAAAAGCTCCCATTCTCAATTTATTCACTTCTTGGTAAACTTTAGCAAGTTCATTAGGAAACTCATTAGGTCGAATACTCTACCGATTAAGCTAAGCTTCAATCACATTCAACCAAAATCCTGTGACTTCTCTAGAAATCTCAAACTGGATTATTCATTCGACAAACCTCACCTTCTTAGCCTCAGTGTCAACTTGAAGAGTAGCCATTGCATCCTTTAGATGCAATTTATGCAAGTAGCTACTCAAACTTATTAGCCTAATATTTCAATTATAGTTCTTTGATTGAAGTGCAAGTAATGAAAACCTTTGAAGTGGGCTCTTAGTCTCATATTTAGAGGTTCTAAATGTTGACATGACTAACATTTGTTGAACATCCAAATATCTTACCAACTATCCAAATATCCCTGATTCAAGGAACAAATATGAGAATTAAGGACCTGATATACACCAAAATGACTTGAATTAGGTTAATCAAGTCGTCATGAGAGCTTGAATCAAGTTTAGCAAGTCGTTGATCTTAAACCGGCTAAAGTTGCCTTTAACGTAGCTCTTACCAAGTTTAAAGTCACATAAAGCCTCAACTTGCCTAGAGCTGAAACGTGTCAAAGTCGCTCAGTGGATAGGTTCTACTCGGCCTTCAATCTCAAATATTGAACTTATCAAAGAGGCCATTAAAGTTAAATCATTTAAGGCAACCTCCTGAAGATCTTGACTACTCATTCAGAGCAATAACCTAAGGATTCAGTGTTCTCACCAGCATAATATGTCAAGGCTATATGACCTCTATTTAAAAGTCATTGAAGTTCTTGCCTGGTCGATGGTTAACGGTTAGACTCGGTATATGATAGGCTATTTTAAGTCTATTCATGTTATTGTCTTATTATTTTCTCATGTAGCTCATTATGTGTCACTGACCTTGATCATTAACTATTAGGGATGTTCATTTGGTTGGTTTGAATGGATTAGTTCACTTGAAAGCAAACCAAATCATAGTAGGTAGAACCAAACCAAACAACTGCAATATAGTTTGGTTTATTATATTCAATTTTGAATTCCTAATAAATGAAAATATTCTAATGTATTATGTTGATAAAATACAAAATGTATAGAATCATCAAAATATGGAGTATGAGTTTTAATTTAGGAAAAAAATTAGTTTATGGTTGAGCTTAATTTTTTATTTTTAAATTAAATTATTAACCCTAATTCAAATAATCCTTACTCCCAAACCAATAAAATAAATCATCCTTTGATAAACTGAACCAAATCAAGCAAATATGTTTGATAGTTTCGTTAAAATCTATGATGTAATTATGTATTTTTCGTAAAAATGCTGCCCCACTAAATCTATCTACATTCTTTGTTACATACTTCTCTCTCTCTCTCTCTCTCTCTCTCTCTCTCTCTCTCTCTCTCTCTCATTTCTTTTTGACTTACCCTATATTTCTAAGGGATCAATTGATTCTCCTATAATCTCTCTACCCTTTCTTCTTTGGGCTTGATCCTAATTTACAATAAGATCTTCTGGTCCCCAAAAAATATTGAATCCAAAAGTCATGGCTGTCAGAACGACTCAGTATTTTTTGTTTTCGCAATTACATTTTTCTATTTCCAAATGTTTCCTTTCTTTTTTTGCAATCTTTGTTAAGAATGTTTTTCTATTTTTGTAGATTTTAACTTTAAGTTGCCAAATTCTGTTTCAGAACTTTCGTGCATTGCCGAACAATAAGATTTAGAACTTGAGCTTTCCTCTACTGCATCTTGTTTTTCTATGGATGGTTATACTAGAAAAAAAGTAGTTGGTGGAGTTGGCTTATCTAGAAGTTCTGGTCTTTCTCTTAGAGATGTAAACCATGAGGGCAGAAGTTTCCAATGCTGCAACCGAATAGGGTGCAGCACTAGACAAAACTCCGTCCCAAACCTCCAAAGTACTGTTCCTGAGAAACCCAAATTCCTAAAACCTCCAATTCGTTTTAAAAACAACATTTCTTCAGCTGCAAGTTCTTCCAGGTCATTTTCATCCACCAGCAACTTCAGAAAATATTATCATGAACGGCAGAACCAAGCCGCCTCTATGAAAGAAGCATATTTAGCAGAAAGCAGCTACAGGCAAGCAGAGACTGGAGAAAATTTGAACTGGGAATCAGGGTTTGATGGAAGAATTGAGACTAGAATTTTGAATGATAATGATAGACCAATACTCCAGCGGTTCTCTACAACTGAACTGTCAAGTACTTCCAATGCTACATCTGCCTCAAGATATGGCAAGCAAATCAGTCGAAGGTTTGGATCTGCTATTCAGGACACTGCAAGTTCATTTCTTCGTCGATCTTCTAAGCTAAGATGTGGCACTCAAGTGCCTAAAACTAGTCCACCAGTGGTCAATGGTAGGCAACAAAGGTATAGTTTGAATAACCTAGGCTGTGCATCGATTTCTGATGTTCTTCCATCAGGTTCCTCCAATGGAGTTAATTCAAGAGTTATTTCAGTCAGAAGAAAGTTACAGGAAGGAGAAGGTTCTTCAAAGACAATTTTAGCTCAACCAGAGCGACAAGTGCCTCAAGAAGCATCAAGACAGACAAGAAACCATACTGGTAGGGATATTGCTGTCTCTGTGAGAACCCGGCATCATTCTTCTGGCATACAAAATAGAAGAATTAGATTGAGTGAGCCAGAATATGAGTCGACCATTCAATTGGCTGATCCTCTTTTGTTCCCACAACCATCCCATGCTCCAATATCTGCTCCTGAAGATGTTCAGGAGAGTTCACAAAATTCTTCATTTACTGGAAGATCAGATACAGGCAGTCGGAGCTCCCAAACAAGTTTACTTTCTGGTTCTGAAGATAGCGATGATTACCGGCGCTTCAACATTGAAGGAATTGCAGAGGTTGCTCTCCAAAAAGTTTTCTGAAAAATGACATTTTGCTGATCATGTACCTCAGATTAATTTCCCTACTCTTCTAAAAGTAACATTTCTTTGATTTATTTAGATTTTACTAGCATTGGAAAGGATCGAGCAAGATGAAGAGTTGACAGATGAGGTTTTTAATCTGTTATTGTGCTGCTAAGTATTCTTTTGCATCTAAACTGAAATGAAAGTTTCTCTTGCAGCAACTACTGGTGTTGGAAGCCAACTTATTCTTGGGAGGTTTGAACTTCTATGATCAACATAGAGATATGAGATTGGATATAGATAATATGACATATGAGGTATGTTCTCATGATTTAATTTTTGGCTTATATTTTCTTTAAACAGTATTTGTTTTTCTATTATTTGCATATTATGAAACTAGTATATTCTTTGCATGGAGAACCGGATTATATGTTCTATAAGTGAAATTTTTTATAATTGGCATATACAAATGTAATATTTCATTGGCGATGGCTTCTTAGATTAAAGTTTTATAGAGTTTCTGTTTTACAATAAGAGAAACCCAAACTGTATCAAGGTAAATTGAATCTCATTTGATTTGGAGCAGGAGCTTTTGGCTTTAGAGGAGGAAATGGGAACCGTGAGTACTGCCCTTTCTGAAGAGGCAATTTCTAAATGTCTCAAAAGAAGCATGTACAGGTCCAACTTCACCTTTCCAAGGATCTTTCGTCAAGGTGATGATCTTAAATGCAGCATTTGCCAGGTAAAATTTTTTCTTTTAGAATAAAAAATCTGACAGCTCATATAAACTTTTAATAGTGGTAAAGGATTTTTCGATGCTACCTGGCATGTTTATCCATTATTCTTTTCTAGTTGAAATCCCTTAGTCCACTTATGTTCGTGGAAGCAAAATCATCCAATCTGCAAATTGAAATAAACAAAAACATGTCAGAAATACGTTATGATTAAATAAATTCATGGTTTTCCTTCACGAAGTAAAAAAAATACACATTAACATGGGCTTTCTTATGGCTAATGTTTGAAATTTCTCTTTTAATTAACTCTTTTGGATGGGTTGATTGGTTCAGGAAGAGTACGTTATAGGAGAGGAAGTGGGAAGCTTATCGTGTGAGCATCGCTTTCATGTGGAGTGCATTGGTCAGTGGCTCAGACTAAAGAACTGGTGCCCAATTTGCAAAGCTGCAGCTGCAGCTGCAGCTGCTTCCTTCAAAAGCAAATCGCAATCCTGAATGTTATATGCTACTTCATTCAAAATTATTCTTCTCTTTAAACTTTTTTATCTGTTGGTGTACATATATGTCTCTGCTAACTTTCTCGCTGAAATAAAATTCTCATAAGACAGTTCAATGCTGTGTACATTTCAACATTGTTTGGGCATCAGTGAAAATGTTGATATGATGTGTTCTCATTGAAATTAAAGCTGGTTTCTTTAATTTTCCTGTATCTTTGTTTTATTGTATGATTGTTCAACTTAGTTACATAATCTTCCCTCAAATGGTTTTCTTTGGAAAAAAGTTGAACCTGGGCTGATAAAAAAAAAAGTTGAACCTGGGCTGGGGCTTTTTAGTCTGCTCATGTGAATGCTCATGTGACAACATGTAGCTTTAGGTTTCATTTAAGATAATTTTTTCTGACTTTCTACAATTTTTAGAAAATAATAAGAAAATTGTTCTAAATTTTGTTTGAGATGGCTTTCTTACTTCTTCATAAAGCAGTTTTCTAGTAGAAATTTTTTATTTTTTGTACTAAAAAACTGCTTTAAAAAACAGTAAGAAAATTGTCCTAAACAAAGCCTTAATCTTCAGTTCAAGCAGTTTACATCATTAGTATTGAATCAGGTTTTAAAATGAGAAGCTTTTAACACAAATTTAGAGGCTAAAATTTTCAGATTGGAGGACAAAATTTTCATGAAGAAATTCAACCAAAGTTTGGGAGCGCTCGCAGTAGTAGATGATACTATGTTCATCTATAAGGCTTAGGATAGAAGATTAAGCTTATAATGTGAGGAAAATGTTCTATAATGGTGAAGGATGAGCAATGTAAATGAACTTCGGTCAATGCAGGCGAATCTTTGTTACAGGACAAAAAAAAAAATCTCTTTTAAGACGTTTTAAATGCTTTCAAGTTGTTTTTCATATACTTATTTTACTTCATATCAAACATTTAAAATAACTGAAAAAATTACAGAGTTTTTTGGCATATTATTCATAAAAGGCGACAGAAAACATTCAGGTGATCAAGTTGAAGCTCAACTTGACATCTCCTGTTAAGTAACAGCTACGAGTTTATCCAAATGTCTCTACCTTCAGACAAAAAAAAAATTGTAGAGTATAATGGATTTTCTTGAACTCCACCAGTCTGCATCTCTGCTTCATAGTTATTGAATCTTCTCCAATTAAAAAAAAAAAAAACAGTTTTTGATAATTTATATGGGGTCTTTAGTATTAAGGAAGGACAGATACAAGAATACTTAAGCTAAGCAAATAAAAATCTAAATTTTTTTGTAAGTTTGGATCTATTACATGTAATAACAAATATAGATGATGACGAAACTAAATATGCAACAAGAGGTTAACATAAAAAACTAAATATAATTTTAATAAAATCATAACTAATCTGACCCTAAATTGTTGGATAAGATTAAAGATGATTATGATGAACCTCTTAAGATTAAAAAAGAAAAGGAAAAAAAATCAAAATTTTTTATGTATGTCAAGTAAATGAGTTAAAGTAGAATCAAACCCGAGTATAGTGCGGAAAAAATATAAAATACGTTAAGAGTAAGAGAGAAAATCAAATCAGGATGATAAAACACGAAGGAAAAAAGAAATTTATGATGGTTCAGCTTCTCCATAAGCTTGCATCTATTCTCCCAGCTCTTAGAAATTCCGCTCTATTCAACAACCATACAGATCAAAGCTATTACAAGCTTCACCATCCTTTTTCTTTATGCTTGGTCTTTTTTGCATGCTCTGGACCAACGCTCAAGACCTCAATACAACAAATACGCTTCCAAAGGCTTCCACTAACTCAAAGGAGCTTAGCAAGTAGGACCTTAAGTGACAAAAATAGTGATTGACAAGGAAGTAGCAAGTTATCAAGAGAAAGCTTTAGGTTCATCATCAGGCAAGAGATCAAAACATGCAACAACAAAGGGGCTATTTATAGAAATTAGTGGGCTAAAATGGAAACAAAATCATGCAAAGAAATTTTGGAGGCAATTTCAAATTAAAGTTATTCAAGCACAAGTATGCTAGACCTAATCTAATTAAAATTGTGGGCAAATGAGACAAGGAGCCGTTATGGAAGATCCTTAGCTAGCAAGAGTTAAAAGAAGGTTTGGGGACCACTTGTATGATCATGAATCACCGTTAGAAAAGTAAATATGTAAGCTACAATAGATTTTAGATTGGAAAGAAGTCCTCATTCACCTGGACCCCCTATATGGTTAGAACCACCCCCTACATACTCCTTTGTCTGTCTCCACCTTTCTTATGACCATCATCACCCCGTAGCAGTATGTGTCCACTAGCTTCACCCTTGATTGGTCCACGACCTAGTTATGTCTGTCATGTCTAAATGCAGCTCTTTTTCCTCCTCCACTACCACCTCCCTCCTCAATTTCCTCGTCATGACAAATGGTGAGAACCTGAAGATTTTAGTCCTTACACTTGTGCCCAAGTGTATACCTGTGGGCTCCGAAAATTCGCGCCCCAGCCTCCCTCGCCTTTCAGAGGAATTTTAATGAATTAAGTTCCCAGATAAAGTTTAGGAAGGCAGATTAGGTTTGTAGATAAGACACTACCCAGATATTTCACCCTCATTTTGCGAGGACTTTATGATTTGAGTTCTAGTTTTCTATAGGCGCAAGCCCCTATAATTAATTACCCCTCCCGATGTCGAGAGAACTTTCGATTAAGGCTAGTCGTCAATAAGATACGTATAAATACGTGCATCTGGCATATAGTAGCAGCATGAGCTTAGATATTTGAAAATAGTTGAAAATTTGAAGGTTTGATATTTAAAAAAAAAAATTCATCATCTTGCACTTAAAGCATATGTTGGGGGAATGGATGATGGGCCCGATCAAGATCTTATGGTTCCGTCGTCCCGGGAGATCATGGACCCTAGTCCACTTAATCAAACGACATAGTTGACCAAACCTAACCAAAGGATTTTTATCGGCATTCATGAGTTGTTTTATCCAATAGTACCTAGTAGACTTGCGGTAGATGTTTTCGTAAGGGGGCATATTCGAGCCAGAAATTTAAATCCACCTTAGCTAATAGAGGGCTTTAAGCCCTATTGATTATATCCTATTGATTCTTATCTTAAGAATTTGATGCCATTGAACCATAATTTAGTGGCACCATTTCACGGCAAACCATCTGATTCAGAGGGCCATAGTCATAATTGTTTACCTGCGATGACATTTGGAGGCAAAACTGTCGATTAGAGGACACGTGTCATGTCATTGCTGGCAGGAGTCTATTTGAGAATAAATTATAGTGATATTCTCGACCATACATTAGCTCTTTATGAGCTGGAGTAGTTTTCAATTTGAACCCGCCCTTCTTGCAAACCAACCCCCTTCTCCACTCAGCCGTAGAGATAATACAGCATAAAGCTTTTTTTTTTTTTTAATATTATAACTCAGCTTGCAGCGGATTTGCGATAGAAATTTTCGACGCAAATTCGTCATAGAGGGATTTGTGCCCTATTGATTATATCCTATTGATTTATATCTTAAGAATTTGATGCCATTGAACTATAATTTAGTGGCGCCATTTCGCGGCAAACCATCCGGTTCAGAGGGTCCCAGTAATAAATGTTTACCTACGATGCCATTTAGAGGCAAAATTGTCGGTTAGAGGACACGTGCCACATCCTTGCTGGCAGGAGACTATTTGAAAATAAATTATAGTGATATTCTCGATAAGACATTAGCTCTTTGTGAGCCAGAGTACTTTTCAATTTGAACCTGCCCCTCTTGCAAACCAACCCCCTTCACTCAGCCGCGAAGATAATAAAATAGAAAGCTTTTTCTTTAATATTATAATTCAACTTGCAGCGGATTTGCGACAGCAATTTTCATCGCAAATTCGTCACAGAGGGCTTTGTGCCCTATTAATTATATCATATTGATTCATATCTTAAGGATTTGATGCCATTGAATCATAATTTAGTGGCATCATTTTGCAACAAACCACCCGGTTCAGAGGGCCCCAGCCATAGCTGTTTACCTGCAATGTCATTTGGAGGCAAAACTGTCGATTAGAGGACATGTGCCACATCCTTGCTGGCAGGAGACTATTTGAGAATAAATTATAATGATATTCTTGACCAGACATTAGCTCTTTGTGAGCTGGAGTAGTTTTCAATTTGAACATGCCCTTCTTGCAAACCAACCCCCTTCTCCACTCGGACGCAGATATAATACAACAGAAAGCTTTTTTTTTTTAATATTATAACTCAACTTGTAGTGGATTTGCGACGGTAATTTTTGTCGAAAATTCATTACAAAATAATCGTAAAAAATTTCCATCGAAAATCCATAGCCATTTTCTACAAAAAAAAATCCGTCATGAAGTCCGCCGCAAATCCGTAACTTTCTTGTAGTGACATCCATGACTAAAGCAAAAAGATATGGGCTAAGGCTAATCCTTGATGTGATCTAATTGAAATAGAGAAATATTGGTCAAATCACCTTGTGTTTGAACACAAGTAACGACTCTTGCAAGCATATCTTTAATGACTTGAATATAAGCATCATTAACCTTTTTCTTTTCTATAACTCTCCATAACACTTCTCTTGGAACTTATCATATACTTTCTCTAAATCGATAAATATCATATGTAGATCCTCCTTATTCTCTCTATACTTCTCCATCAAACCTCTCAATAAATGTATAGCTTCCATAGTATCACGTCTTAACATATGCTCCATAACTCTCCCATAGTTTTAAAGTATGGCACATTAACTTGATTCCTCTATAATTCACACAATCTTATGCATCACACTTATTCTTAAAAATATGGATCAACAAAATCATTCTCCACTCATTTGTCATCTCTTTTGTTTTCAAAATAATATTAAAAAGTTTAGTAAGCAAAAAAATTCCTTCATCTCCTAAGCATTTCCACACCTCTATTGAAACATCATCAGGTCCAACCTCTTTTTCATACTTTTTTTAAAGCCTCTCTAATTTCGGTTTAACTAATACACCGATAAAAATAAAAATATTTATTTTCATTTGGGGTGCTAATTTCACTAAAGTCAATTGTATTCTTAAAATTTTCATTGAAAAGCTTAGCAAAATATCTCATCCACATTTATTGAATATCATCTTTTAATAAAATCACTTTTTAATCTTCATCATTAATGCTCTTCAATTGAACTAAATCTTTACTACTCTTATTTCTTTGTTTGACT